TATCTATCTATCTATCTATCTATCTATCTATCTATCTATCTATCTATCTCTATTTCTCAATCTGTCTTTATCTATCTTTCTATATATCAATCAATCAATCTTTCTAACTTCCTATCTCCTTTTTTCTCTCTCTTCATTGTGTGTGTGCATGTGCACCGCAGGTGGCGTGCGCAGGCACACACAAAAAAAAACCACGAACACACACATGTATGCACACACATTTTCGACCTGAGTCACTTGTGTATCTTCACGTCTCTTTACAATGTTACCGATCCTTGAGTGAATAAACCTCATCATGAAAACTACCTCCTGCTCTCTTTTTGTTATTTTGCTTCATTCTGTGTTGTGAATGTCTTTTGTGAGAACTTGGTTTGAATTTTATTTTTGAGGAGTGGGTGGTTGGCGGGTACTCTTGTGTGGTTTGCTTCTTCTTTCCTATCAAACATCCGTCGTCTTTATCTCTCATCTTTCTTTTTTTGTGTTTGTTACTCTCTTGTAACACCTCTAATCTTTGGCACTTACATGACCTTATTATGTTGCAAGTGCCGTAAAACTCTTATTAAAACTTAACTTTTGAAGGAATGTGGGGCTGGAGAAGAGTAACGGAAATGGATGTACAGAAAAGTGGGAAGACCAAGCGACTAGCCCAGAATAGGGGAGTGTGGAAAGTGTTTGTTCGTGGCCTATGTCCTGATCCAAGGTGACAAAGGCAATGATGATGATGATGGGTGGCTGTTCCCTTTTTGGATTTAAAAAAAAAAATTTTGATTTTTAAAAAAAATTGTTTTGGGAGGGGGGGGGGGGTGAGCAGGTAGGTTTTGTTATTGGAGTTTTGAAAAGGTCTTACTGGTTTTTTTTTTCAAACTTTAGACATTATTAGCTTTGTGGGTGTTTGGCAGATGCTCCTGTGTGGTTTGCTCCTTTTATCCTATCAAATATAAGCTCTCTTCATTATCTCTCCTCCTCCTTTTCGTTTGATGTTACTCTCTGGGAGCACTTCTAACCTTTGACACTTATTTGACCTTTTTGTGTTGCAAGTGTGTAACATTCTTACTAAAAGACGAAAAGTAGACATGTAGCAACATTTCATGTAAGGAGTGTAAAATTCAAAGGATCTGCAATACCCCCGAGGATGACCAAACAGCCTAATATAGGACTGAGTGGAGAGCCGTGGTAGTTAGTGTCTGTTCCAGACCGGGCACTTGACAGAAAGGAGAGTGAGAGGAGGAGGGGGGGGGGGGGAGAGAGACAGGATATTCATATTCCAATTGTAGACAAACATAGGCCTATACAGTGCAGCCTCTCGATAACGACATCGTCGGGACCAGAATAAAATGTTATAGAGAGAGTTGTCGTTATAGAGAGGCAATCAAACGTTACTAATGAAAAAATTGGGACTTTGGCACCATGTCGCTATACAGAGGATTTATTATAGCAGAGGTCGTTATAGACAGGCTGCAATGTATATAATAATAACATTATATATATATATATATATATATATATATATATATATATATATATATATATATATATATATATATATATAAATATATATATATATATATATACAGTCGAACCTGTGTAAGACGGAATCGCAAGGGAGCGGGGGAAAATTCCGTCTTAGACATTTTTCGTCTTAGAACAGGGGAATTTAGGGGTGGGGGGTGGGGTGGGGAGGTTCAAAGGCCCAGCCGGTGAGATCAAGGATCGCTTGTCCGATCGGCAAGCAGTGGTCAAAACTTCACACCTCTCAGCTGCTTTCCAGTCTGATAGTGACATGATGCGTCAGTCTTACTTATCCAATTACCACCAGTGCTTGCCTTTCATAGGACCACTGATTGACCTATTAAAAACAGAAACGTTTGAACACCTCCTTTACTTCCACCCTTAGTCCCACCCACCAATGCCACCCCTCACTGCCAGCATTGTAACAACGATTCGAGGAACTCTTTTCTCAGCAGGCTGTACGATCAGGGCGGCAGGCATTGGTCAATCTAATGTCACACCTCTGGCTTCTGGCTACCCAGGAAAGTTTCCTAAGTGGCTGGCTACTCGAGCACTCTCACGGGCAGTCGTGAGATATCACACCCACACTACACTGACCATGTGCAGCGCTCAGTGCTCACATGATGGGGTAACATAGGGTAACTTCTACTCTACCCCCATTGCACCCCTACTCCCCTTCCTCGCCCAGCGGCATGGCCATGGCGTTAAGTTTAGAGCCGGCGAAATCAAACTTGCGAGTTTTGTTTCAAATCAGGGCTGAGCGGGGAAAGCATTTTCCGTCTTAGACAGGTGAAACCCTCGGAAGGGAGCGGATTTTTCTTTCCGTTTCCGTCCGCGTTGGACAGGTTTCCGTTTTATACAGGTAATTTTAAAGAGGAATATATCAAGGGGGGAGCGGGGAGATTCCTTAAAGACAGGTTTCCGTTTTATACAGGTTTCCGTTAAGACAGGTTCCACTATATATATATATATATATATATATATATATATATATATATATATATATATATATATATATATATATATATACAGAGAGAGATCGAGAGAGAGAGAGAGAGAGAAGAGAGAGAGAGAGAGGGGGGGGAGCACAATATAGATCAAAGTGGGGTTTTTAAAAAATCTTTTTTTTTGTTTTAATTGCTAAATTGTGCTCGTTGTCACATGAAGCGAGATGGTCAGGAAACATTTTTTTAAATGACATAATATCAGTAAGAGAAAAATCACTCGTGATTGCAAAAATCTCTGAAAAGAACAAGACACTTTCTTTTGAAATAGGAAGTGTGAAAACATAAAACAGAGAACCATCAACATTGGGTTGGTTTCATGGGGGGGGGAAATTCAAACCCAACAATGAGACGTTCAAACAAAGAGACGCACTTGTTTGTAAACCCTCAAAACGTTGTTTTATTAGGAATTGCAGAAAATTTAAGATTTAAGGTCTTAATTACAGGGTAAGTATATATCAGTCCCCCCCCCCTCCCTCTCTCTCTCTCTCTCTCTCTCTCTCTCTCTCTCTCTCTCTCTCTCTCTCTCTCTCTCTCTCTCTCGTTCCCTCCATGAAAATCGAAGCATTTCGCTACCGAAAAACTTAGATCCAGCCCACTCTTTACTGCGTGAACTTGAAGCTAAATCTACTCAGTCCTCCACCACAAGAAGACGCAGAACGACCACAGAATTAGAATTGAAGGACAACTCATAGATTTAGAATTGACTGAATTGAGTCAAGTTTTCTACCAAACAGACTAGGCTAGGCCCTGTGGACCGTGGAAATTCGTCAGTTTGACATAATTTGAAACGTACTGCATATCATTATCCGATTGGCTTTGTGTTTTAATAATATTGCAGCGTGTGCATATAATGATTAATGTGTGTAGCAGATGTGTTGCCATCCTCGCTCGAGGCTCTTGCTCACTCTAAGTCTAGGCCTACGCAAGCCGGGCATCCGAACTAGGGGACGAACTAGATATAGATCTAGAGATATCTAGATCTAGATCTAGCAAAAGTTTGGCCTTCGCTACCCTTCCCTACCAACTGGCAGAGTCACGGCTCACACAATTCCATTCCAGTCGATTGACAACGCTCGAGGGAATTTGATGAAGTTGTAACTGATGTGTTGATCTAGGCCTACTGCATTTTTTAATGTAAGTTTACAAAGTTTCCATGCACTTTTCATGCTTGCTGGAGTAGAGAAACAACAGAAGAAGGAACTTGATTAAAATATAAATTTGATATTATGTTAATTCTGAAAACAGTACAGTACAGTACAGAATGCGGCCCTTTTTCGGTAGTTCCCACCCCGCAATTGTTATTCGCGGGTTTTGGCCCCAAGAGTAG